AGGAATGAACAGTCAGCCTAACGAGCCGGAGTGTAGCCCCCTGTTCCCTCTGAACAGCAGCTTTAACTCTGTGGCTGGCAAGGGAGAAGGATGCTCTTCAAACAGCAGCTTCAGCGCTGAATATGAGGCCATCTTTGGTTCAGGTCCAGTTGAAACCAAAGCCCTGACAAAGCACCAAAGACAAAAGCACTGGAGAGCCGCCCTGTTTGCCTGGCTAGAGCTAAAGCTGCAGGCCTGCCTCGAAGCTGCCCCTGGGCTAGAACTGGTGGGAAGTGATGCCGCAGAGCTGCCTGAGGCCGGTACTCTCTGCCATGGGCTGGGAAAGCTATGCTTTCCTGTTATATCACAGCCATAGGGCACCAGATCCCCATGCGCCTTACACCTTGTCCTCTTGAGAGAGGATTAAATAGGATGCTGCTGCTGCTAAGTCTAGGGGCCTTCATACACTTAAAGCCTTTATGCAAAACCTGAGCAAAAGAGGTTTAGCCAAGAGACTTTACCTACTACTTGCAACTTAGTACTCATTCTTCTCATACAGAACAGAAAATCATTCATCACATGACCAAATAAAATCCCAGTCTTATGAGTGAGGTGAAAGGCAAGGGACTGGAAAAGTAATTTTAACCAAGTTTTCTACACAAAATGTAGAACAATTCATAGACTTTTTTAAAAATAGAAATAATGTGTGTTCTGATTATAGCTCACCGTGGTTGTTTCTGAGTCTGGTTTTTCCTTGATTTTCTGAAGGAGAAAAGCCAAGCAAAAGGTGATCTAAACCCCAGAAAGGAAGCTGAAGTGTTCTTTTGTGCTTGAGGATTTGTGCAGGATGACATTTTTAATTCGTTGTGATCTAAAATTATAAAAATTTTATTTGTTTCAAGTTCTTATTAGCTGCAGTATTAAAATATACATAAAAAGTTATGTCTTCATAAACAATTTTATTCTGCTTACCTTTTATGCCAGAAAAATCCAGTTTTATTGACATTTTTGGACAGACTATATGACATGATGGTTTATAATGACTAACCAAAAGGCTAAGAGAAAGATAAGCAGGTCTAAAGTTTCAAAAAGTAATATTGGTTTTCGGTGATGCACGTGAGATAAATGAAGCTGACTTTCAGAAAGTAATCACCGCTCAACCATTTGAAAACCAGAGCCGTTTTAAAATCCAGGCAAATTAGACATTTGAAAATTGAGGCACCCACAATCATTAGTCACTTTCTCTTCACCTTTGTAAGAAATATGACAACCCTGTAACTCAGACTAAGGTGTGTTTTGTATCACAGAATTCTTTATCGTGGGATTCCCATGGCCACTGGAGTGCATTTTTTCCACTACAAACTGCTTATCAGAACTGTATTTTATATGCAAGATATTCTGAATGATTTCTTTGTGAAGGTTATGATTTGATTTCTTCAAATGGAGCATAAACCCAGTCTGCCTGTAAAAGCAGCTGGCAATTGGTGTGAAGGAGAGGATTAGTATTGCTTACAGATTAGGGAAAGAAACTGCAGGGTCTGCTATTAAAAATGACACAGGAACCAGAACCAAGACTTCACTCAGGAATAAGGCACTGCATCTTTTTTTTTTTCCATTTAAAATATCACACACCTGAAACAATGCAACAGTCTGAAAATGGCTTATCCAGTGGCTGTAGGAGAAAGCAAAACCAGAAACGAGAGCAAAATGTCACTGATAACAACAGTAAGGGGCAGCATTTTGGACCTAGTCCAAAATGAAATGAATAATTCAAGTCATGTGATTTAAATCCTGTGTGTAATACATGGCTTTCACTTCAGTGACAATCACTGTATTACAAAATGCTGCATCCTTTACCCCTTTCAGAGCCTAACATCTTGGTGGCATTGTATGACTTGACAATAAAGGTGACATCAGGAGAGTCCTAATAGCACTCTGCCGTAGCCAGGATGGTTTAGGGATGTAGATAGAATAAAGCTTGCAGGTAGAAGTAGTATCTTTTATTAAAACAACTTATAAAGTTGGAAATATCAGACAAGCCTGCGAGGCACACAACCCCTTCTTCAGATCTGAAATACAAACAGCAGCTTTCAAAGTTAAATACCAGAGAATAATTACACAGAGTTTAGTTAGCTAATGCATCAATTAGACCACCTCTGAAAAAGAAAAATAGTAGATAGTTGTGGACTAGAGGGGATGCTGTGGAAAAATGGTTAGGAAAGACAGATCTATTCTGTGTAGGTCTGTAGTTTCAGGTAAATTTTTAGGGTTTCACTTTTCTTTTGAAATACATGACTGCTTCCAGTTGCTATGAAGCACAAATAGAAAGAGCTCAATAGAAAACATGCAGAAAGGTGAATGGAATAAAAGCATATATTATGCATGAAAACTATCTGGATGGAAGATGAAAAAGACAGTACAGAATACCATGCTTGGTATAGAGACACCATGTTTCTTGGGCATGTTCATTTTGGATGGGCAACAGAACCTGTGAAATGAGATCTCCAGAAGTTGCTTTCTCGTCAGCCCAAGTTTCCAGGCTTTGTCACACACCCTGATAATCAGCACTGGCATGCCTATAGTCCAGTGTTATCGGTAAAAGTTTTTGACTGGTACAGTCAAACCTCTCTCACCCAAACCCAGATTACCTACTTATTCCAAATGTCGTTTAGGTGCTTCTAGTTTCTTTAAGAAAACTAGGTAAAACTGAAACAGTTTTTGTACAAAGTAAACATTACTGCTTCAATTGGGAAACCACCACTATATTTACTATAATTACAGCAACTTCATCTTGATTAAGAAACATTTTTTTTTTACAGTGAGGATGATCAGTCACTGGAACAACCTCCCTAGGGCTGTGGTGGAGTCCCCACCACTGGAGGTTTACAAAATGTGACTGGACAGGGTGCTAGATAATCTCATCCAGGTTTCCCTTCCCACAAAAGGTTGGACCAGATGATCTTCTGATGTCCTTTCAACCTGGGCTGTTCTGTGATTCTAACTATGGGATTAAGAACGTCAGGGATTTTCTGTCATGACTCCCAGCTGTGCTTTCAACACAATCTGCTTAAAGAAGCATAGTCATTTTGAAAATATATCTTTGGTAAAACTTTGATATGAGAAGAAACTCAATGCAATTTCAGAAACTCCTTAGCTATTAAACTCTGAAATGCTATAAGACATTGATTTGATGACCATCATCATATAGGTAAGGAAATGGAAAAGTGCAACTCACTGGTGTTTTTGCTCTTCCTTAGCCGGTGCTCTAATGGTGGTTTTAGCATTCTATTGACATCAACGTAATTCTGAAATTTTTTTTTTTGTATCTCTTCAAACCATTCTCCAGTCACTCCCTGCAGCACTGTTTCAGACTTCTTTCTCTTCAGAAGCTTGCTAGAAAGAGGGAAAAAAAAAAAGACAATTTATTTTTAAGCCTTTTTAGATATTACAGGCACATCATTAGGAACTTTCCTTGTTGTTTATTAAGTATTTAAAGTATATTTCTACATATAATGACTTTTTAAAAGATACAGTGGGACATGAGACATTCACAGCAATCACGTAAAAGTTTTAGTGATAGCAGAATTCTCCAGTTTAACAATGAGATTATGTGACCAGGTTAAGTGGACAACTTGTATGCTTGTATCATTCTCTGCATCGAAGAAGCGTACCCTTCTTCCTTACAAAAATGAGGTAATAATTCATAAGCATTATAAAGCTAATTGAAAGTAAGATTAAATTTAGCCAATAATAAAATTAGAATAAATAATACCCTAACAAAGCAATTCTTGAAATATTTATTCACTCATTTAAACAGAAGCAATAACAAGATTATTTTGACTTTCAAGAGGAAGCTTACCAAGGCCCTGACAGTGAGGTACCCACCACACATTTTCTATGTAAGGGAGAATAATAAAATGTGAATTCAGCTAATAGGTATTAATGTGACATGTTCAATGAGTTTATATTTTCCTCTTTCCTTGCTGCATAGTGATTCTGCTTGTGTTTAATATGTATGGAAGCAACTAACAATGAATATGAATGCTCTGCCACACAGAGGCGAAGCCTGAATAAGCTACACACATGTAGCTGCAACTGAAGAAGCTGTTTAGTAGCAAGTTCAGGTTTTAGACCAAGAGGTCACCGGAATAAATTGTTTATCTGGACATAAAAGAACAAGGTACAGTTGCAAAGGAGTCTGAACAGTGCAAAGACACACAAAGTTACTTGTTTTCAAATTATATTACACAAGTGCCTAAAGTACAGATACAAACACAGCAAATCCACACCCCAATTGATTCTGATGGCAACAGAACAAGACTTTGTGCACAGCCTGGAGATGTAATACCAATGTTTTAGCAAGGCTTTCATGTAAATCTTCCACCTTAATCAGTGGTAAAACCCATGTCTGGGAATACAGATGCTCTCAGAAAACATAAATTATTTCAGTTATCAATTTAAATAAAACCTCATATTCCCTGAGATAACATTACTTCACAGAACAAACTTCAGTATCTAGTCTGGAAAGGGATGTATTTCCATCAGGAATTGATACAGAGTGTGTTGCCCATACAAGCACCTACTGTTCATCAGGTGGCATCTGAAGAATAGGAGGGCAGCAGACAGACATTTTTGGTAAATGAGTATTTCCGTTGAAGAAGATTACACAGACACAGGCACAAGTACTAGCCATTTGAAATAAACTTATTACAAAGGCAAAAATGTTAATCATATTGCCGCACCACGGGAGTGACTAAACACCATAAACGCCATCTGCAGCGCGGAGAACAGTCTAGCAGTAATGTGAAACAGGAGGAGGCGATGAATAAAGTGCTCTCAAGCGCCAACTTCATGACCTCACTCCTGTGGCCTCAGCGAGGGGGATCCAAGATACCAGGAGGAGGGAAAGCAGACAGGGCCAGGCATGGGGCATTCTGGGAGCGGCGGCAGTCACAGCGCTTGCCCGGAAAACGCGCCCGCAGCAGTTGTGCTGAAAACGGGGCCCGCCTCTCGCAGCCCACCCCCGCGGCCGGTGCGGAGGCAGCCGGAGCCCGCCGGCCGCCGCGCCCCCTCAGCCCGGGCCAGGCCGGGCGGTGCGGGGAGGCGCGCGCGGAGGAGGCCCAGGCGCCACCCAGCGGCGGTGGGTGGCACCGCGCCCCAACCGCCCCCCGCGCGCCCGCCGCCGCGAGGCTGGCGGCGCGTTATATGCACGTACCCGATCGCTGTACATCTACGCGTGCCAGAGAGAAGAAATTGCAATAACCCCACGCTTCAACATCGACCATACCAGGCATTGCGTGAGCACGCCTTTCACCGAAAAAGGTATTAAAAATCTTGCACAAACACTTTATATTTAAACACTGTAAAGTCTTTACTAGTACATGCTTGGCATTATCTGTAGTCATTATCTGTGAACATGCTGCTTTTTAATTGTGCTGTCATCCCCAACTCATGAAATAAACCCTTTAAATTGCTCGTTAGTATTTATATTTACACACACATGCAGGCCCATATACTGAACCCTATATATATTGCTACGTGAGTACCGAATAGTATTAACATGATACGTAATATTTAATTGCAATATTGCATGACTATTAAATATTTCTCATTTACGATGACTCCCAGCCAGACCACATCATTTCCCTATATACCTGCTCTGTCAAGTCTACATGCCCCCTCATGATACTAATGAACAACAGTTGTGAACTAGAAGGAAAGCTTGTCTCAAGAAACAATTACAGCAGAAGATGGTATCTGCAGTCAGTATTGCAATGAACTTGCCTTTGAGGCAGCGCTATTGTTACTTGGATTGCAAATTATATATTGAGACACTGCTCTGTAGGAGTGTCAAAACACCTAATGCCCTCTAAACTAAATGTACTAATCCTGCTTCCCCGTCTGCTGCATTCATCCTTCCTCCTCATTTCTCTACAGCCACTTTGGGCACTCAGAGCCACTTCCTTCTGAGAGAAGACATCATTGTGACTGGGAAAAGCACCTGTAAACTGCTGCAGGATTAAAGGCAACTCCATTCCCAGGAAAACTTACAGGAGACTGCTCCACAAACCGGCGCAGGCAGCAATCCTAAATGACCTCACAGGCTACACCTTGTTACCTTTTCCCATCTATTATCCTACACAGCATCTAAACTAATGAATCACTCAGGAACGATTCCTTTGCACTGTTTTTAAAAACATCTCTTCCTTATTGGCACAAGGATGTCCCATTATTTCTTATACAGACATCTCCAGGGAAAAGTTAATCTAAATGTTTGTATGTACTAGACTTTCATGTGGGTTACCATAAATATTGTGAAAAGAGCTGTAGCCTCCCCCTGCCACTTCCTGTTAGGATAATAAGGAGCTTTAATTGCTACTGTAAGAGGAAAGGTATTTTCTCTACCATCTTCATCCTGAATATAAAGCAGATGACAGATGTGTAAGGTAGTAGAAACTGGGTTGCCAAATAGGACATCTGGGGACATCTCTGCTGTTTGCAGGGGACAGAGGACTCAATCTCACTTATACCATAGCAGAAATTATGATTCCTATTGATTTCAGCAGAAGCAGGATTTGGCCCTAAAGAACCCTTACCACACACTTCACGAGAGAACAGATACACAGCAATGACCGAGCATGAGGAATTGCACTGGATGAAGGATAAGCAGACCAGTATTTGCTCACTGTATCAAAGCTCTCAGTGTCTGAGAAGACAAGGCTGAAAGGATTGCAGATAAAAACAGTGCCAAAAGCATTAGATAAAAACTACAGCAGGGCAGATAATTTGCAAAAACAGTTACTTAAAACAAACTTATGTCTTTACGTTGTTTATATTCCTTACTTTATCAGTGAGAAAAGGCTAGAGATATTAGAAAATAGTGCCTGAAGAACCAGTTCTTTCCTAATTTTTTTGCTTCAACTTCCCACCTTCCCACTGCTCTATACATTATGCTGCACTGCTGAACTGTGTATCTCTATCATTTCTATAGCCAGTTAATTTTCTAGAAAACTCTGGCTGTTATCATGCTCTAAAATACATATACAAGAATATTTTCTTACTTATAATTCCTTTTAATTTGATAAAACTAATTTAAAGACATACTTTTAAGTTGTCATCTTATTTGAAAAAAAAAGGGTAAAAGAAGTACTACTGACAATAGCAAAGACTAACACAGCTGAAGTAATTTGAAAAAATTACTATCCGCCATTTCATATAAACATATGATAGCAGTAACAGCAACATTCTGCTTTCCAAGGTGCCAGAAAAGCTCCTGTGGCAGGTTAACTCTACCAGGAAGAAAAATAACGATATGCAGAGCCAAGATACTCTTTCCTAGCACATCATACACACAATAGATCTATTTTCTAAGGCAGTCTTTATTCTTAGTAACGGGTATATTTTCACTCACATTAAAGAAATCTTTTGTTTATTTTTCTTTCTTACTGTTTTCTGTTTGGCTAATGTCAGTAAACCGAGTCAGCTTCATTATTACGTGTAAAACATTATGCAGAAGCAGGTGAATCAGAGAAGAAAACTGACTGAGGTTTTGGGCACACTACAAGACAATGTAAAAAGATCTAACTGAAAATGCACCTTTTTTTTTTTCTTTGGCTTTTGTATTTGTAAAATTAATCATTTCTGCAGTGATTCTCTGAAAAATTAAGGTCTCCTCTATTTTGATGAATAAAGTATGTTGGCAATAATACTTCAACCTAACCCGCTAGATTGCTGCTAAACAACCACTCATTTAATTTTCTCTTCCCCCAAAATACTGGTTTTCTATCTAAGTCTTCATAATTTTCATTATTATTACTGCTGCTGTAATTTTTGTTATTATGTATTGATTTTATAATGCACATTAACCCACTAACTTGCCTTCAGAAAACATATTTGTCTGAGTATGTGACCAATAAAACTAAAGATGTGTACGGGCAAAGAGGATGTGCCACCACAAGGAAGACCAAGGTGTGTGTTGGTTCAGTGGTTCTTTCTGACCATGACCCAAATACCACTAAACGTAATAGAAGGACTTACTGTCCTGAACAGGCCTCAGGTCAGGCTGCTGGAGAGTCACCTAGTGGTGACACCCCTGGATGGAAAGGAGTAACTGGAAGTGCCAAGACCAATTCACCTGAAGGACAGGGGAAACGCTTCACAGCTTAGCACCAAACTGTATGGGATATGTTTTCAATCCCACTTTGATGGGCTCATCAAGTGTCCAGCTCACATTTATCCTTAAATATTTAGATTCTGGAAATGTGCAAAACCAGGAGATGGAAGTGGGGAGAAAGTGAAAAGGGAATTAATCTTCTCCAAGTTTCCCTCCCAAACTGTATAGTTAATAGGCAGGAGTACTTTAAACACAAAGATACCATTTCTGCACATGATTTTGATACCTACTCTGTAGTACCCTTTCAAGCAGCAAGTAGGGCTACTTAAGCAGATAACTGCAAACAGTAAATGTAATTTTGTCCCCAGAACACTTTTCTGACAAAAGAGATCAGATTCACACAGTAAGTCCTGCCATGTGTGTTGTGGATACAGGCAGGGAATACGCAAGTTAAAGGCAGAACATCATTTCTGCCCTTACTGAAGTTCTACCTTGTCTGCTCATGGGGAAAATCCTTCAATTTCTACCTCTCTTCTTTTTAATTAAAAAGGAGAAAAACCCCCAAATCTGAAATTATTACACTACCTCTATTCAGCAGGTTTTTCTTTATTAAATTAAAGGTGATCACCTGCTTTGAGATAGCCTAATATGGAGGCAATGTGTACATTTACAACACACAATCCACAAAGACAGCAAGACTATCAGCATACACGAAACATTATCATCAGACTCCCACTGTGTGTTGAATACTTCTTTCCACTTTATAACTCACAATATCTATTGTGTCTACAGTTTTTAAATTTAAGCACCCTCTGTACAGTGGCTAAAACTTACCTCTGATTTTCCCAAAGCTTTAACTTCTCATATTAAACTATATGAAATGAATATACTGCAGACGGCTTACTCTAGCTGCTGTTTTTCTTCACTGAGTCTAACACTCCATTTCACTTGAAGCTTTTCTCTGTTCCCCTGGGCAAGAGCACAGACTGACACTTTCCTTTGAAAGAGAAAACTAGGAAACACGGTAAGGGCAAGGATGAGGTTCATTCTCATGCTGACCACGTAACTCCTCTCTGCTCTGGCAGATCAGGAATCAGTTGTTCTCAGTTAAACCTCAGAAATCAGGACTTTAATGACTGTCTTCATAAAGTTAAGTTTTTAAAGCAAAGAGCACTGAAAACTGAGATCATGGGAGCTGAAGGTTATTAATCAACCATCTTAAACTGTAACAATGCCTCAAAACATTACTTTTAATGGAAACTATTTCTGTAGCAGCTACCTTGGGTTTACAGTGAAAACATTATTTCAGCCCTGCTGGAACAAATAGAAAAGGCTGTAAGTATGTATTGTCTAATTGAGTTTATACATACTTAGAATATGAAAGCTTTTAGTCCTTTGAGCAGCTGGTCAACTAGAGTGAATGAAGTGAAATACCACTAGTAATGTCACAACCGTAAGTGACTCTCCAGGTCAGGCTGACTCGCTGCCATTTCCTTTGCAGTGAGTGCAAAACAGGGGGAAGCTCCACTCTGAGAATGTTTTACAGGTGATTTACAATCTCTCAGTACAGGCTGCAAATGACAGATCAAAAAAGTGTTACTTTATTATCCTGTCAATACGCACAAGGCCAAGCGTAAGGTCCTGTACATGGGTCAGGGCAATCCCATGCACAAGTACAGGCTGGGCGAAGAATGGATTGAGAGCAGCTCTGAGGAGAAGCATTTGTGGGTATTAGTGGATGGAAAACTGACTATGAGCCAGGAATGTGCGCTCACAGCCCAGAAAGCCAACTGCATCCTGGGCTGCATCAAGAGAAGTGTGGCCAGCAGGTCAAAGGAGGGGATTCTCCCCCTCTCCTCTGCTCTCAAGAGATCCCACCTGCAGTGCTGTGCCCAGCTCTGGAGCCTCCAACATAAGGACAGGGACCTGCTCAAGTGGGTCCAGAGAAGGGCTGTGAAGATGATCAGGGGGCTGGAGCACTTGTCCTATGAGGACAGGCTGAGAGAGTTGGGGTTGTTCAGCCTTGAGAAGAAAAGGCTCCAGGGAGACCTTATAGCAGCATTCCAGTACTTAAAGGGGGCTACAGGAAAGATGGGGAGGGACTCTTCACCAGGGATTGTAGTGATAGGATGAGGGGTAATGGTTTTAAACTGAAAGAAGGTAGATTTAGACTAGGTATAAGGAAGAAATTTTTTACCGTGAGAGTGGTGAGACACTGGCACAGGGTGCCCAGAGCAGCTGTGGCTGCCCCCTCCCTGGAAGGGTTCAAGGCCAGGTTGGACAGGGCTTTGAGCAACCTGATCTAGTGGGAGGTGCCCCTGCCCGTGGCAGGGGGGTTGGAACTAGATGATCTTTAAGGTCCCTTCCAACCCAAAACATTCTGTGATTCTATGAACATTATATGGTAATAGCAAAACAAATCCATGATGCAATGGAAAGGAAGGATATCTATAATTTTTAAAGTGTGTCACATAGCTTCTAAATGGTAGTAATTAATATCTCTAATGAGATTACTTCCTGATCTAGTGAAAATTGTCCCTGCCCATGCAGGGGGGTTGGAACTAGATGATCTTTAAGGTCCCTTCCAACCCAAACCATTCAGTGATCATGATGATTAATAGGAATGTCCATTAGCATTAATAGAGGCTAATAGATGCAATGGATATAATTCTCCATGCAGTGATTATGATTTGTTTGCAGGGATAGATGTAGTCTTGATCCAAAAACGTTGCACGACAGGAGTAAGTCTGGGGCTCCTGAATTTCTGTCCTGGAAATCTTACATGGAAATACAGATGTATACCATATGTGCCACATGATGATGGGTTGGAAAGCTGTGGATCAGGTCTTCTTAGGTCTCTCAGTAAATCTAGAGCTAATGATTAACAGCAGACATATTTGCTCTTCCAGGGTTAAGCTGCTAGTTGATTGTGAGACCTTTTATAAATATTGATAGCATGCAAAGAGACAGCCATATATGCAAGTAATTTACAGCTCAGCCATATGTTATACATTTTACTGCCTTACAAAGACATGCAATGCAGATGATATTCCTCATGTTATTGTATGACTTTCTTTATGCAAAACCTTTCCTAGGTAACAACATAAGGGGAAAAACAAGAAAACAGACACAGGACAGGTAAGAACTCTGAGGGGAATTGGTTTCAAATGAAGATCAAGGTCTCATCTCTGCAAGCAGGTTTGTATATGATAGCCCATGGGTCTGGACAGAGCTCTAAAATCGAGAGGCTCCAGTCGGGCTTAGACATTTGTTTGTACAAAGTTAAGCTTGAAGCATAGGGTGCTCAAAATACACCTCTGCAATCTCAGATAATTGTGCAGAATCTCACAGAGCTGAAGCAAGATTCTGGTCAACAAAAGTAAGACAGAAGGTCAAAGTGTACCTGCACGCTGTGTTACTGAAACACTACAAAAGCCTTGTTTACATTGCTTTAAATTATGGAAAGCAATCATAAGAATGAATGTAAGCTCTCAAAGTTGACACAGTGGATGTTTTTAATCTGGAAATATAATACTTATATATATGTGTACAATATATACATGCACAGATCCTCTGTTATAGTAGCTGAGAATATAATGATTTATCACAACTCTTCCACTGGAAATAGAAATATGATAGTAATACTTTAAAATATAATATTTATATGTATATAAATTTCATATGTACATCTAACTATAAGAACACACAAGTGTACAATGCAGGAAGAAACAGACTGCAGTGCACCCCAGCCACACAGCTGCAGCTTGACTGCAGCTCTCTGTACTCAAAGCCCCTATATCTAGAAATCAAAAGATATGGCAAGCAGAAGTATTGTCGTTCCTTGATTATTCCAACCACAAATTAAACTGTGTGTAATTTATGTGCAATAAAGTGTAAACAGACTGCACTTTTCATCATTTCCTCTGAACTTCTGTTTTGTGGTTTTGATGTGTTTGGTCATAGTTGGTATGGTACCACTGCATATACCTATTCATTTCCATGGTAAGACTGATAAAAATAATACAGTTTCTGGTAGGAGTTTAGAATGCAGGCATTGAAATACTGCTTATTACATTTAACAGCGTTAACATAATAATCTAGCTGCAAAGAAGGGTTAGAAATACATTTCATGTGAACATTGAGATGCACCAATACTCAGGAAAAAGTCAAATTTTTCTCTACTTGCTTTAATGCATTTCTCACATGAAATATGTAAATTGTGAAACTTTTCAGAATGTCAACTGTAGGGAATTAAATAATTTTTCAATTGAAAACAAGTACAGGAAAGGCTGAACTGAGGTCAGTCTTTAGTCTACGTAGTCCTGTATTAAAGTTCTGGAACACAGAATAAAATGGGGTCTCTGGGCTCAAAGTGCAAAACTCCATTGGGCCAAGCTCTACTTGATTTGAAAACTAGATTCAGGGGGCAAAAAGATTTTAAAGGATTATTAAATTCAGTATATATAAACTACTGATAAAAACTAAACTTTAAAGAAGAAAAGGAAACAGACTCGTGCAACATTTTTCAAATGCTGTCAAAACAGTATCTGATACAAACCAATGAACATCAGGTGAAGTCTTGACATACAGCCCAACAAGCTTTGCTCTCAGCTGTTAGCCAGGTCTCTCCAAGAGCCACATCTACAGGAGGTGCAAGTCTTGCATGTCTAGGTGGACCCAAGAATCTGAAGTACTTCAGGGAGGGAGATATCCAGCCACTCTGAACATGAACTGGACATGGTCCTGTGCAACACTTGCTTGACTTTCACGCATAACCGATTTAGTATTTCTGAAATATGTGCGAGGACTTGAAGGTGTTGGGACACAGACAGTGTGTAGAAGTTGTCA